AAGTCCTCTGACCCTTCCCCCAGGATAAATTCCCTTTTAGTTCCCTAGATCAACTTAAAGACAGCTGAGGAATACATCTGATCAGCATTTTGATCACTGTCAAAATGTTTAACGGAGGTGCAAGACCTTTTCCACTTCCCTCCTTGTGTTCTCTGGTAAGATTAAGAGACATACAGTGGACAGAATTGAAAGAGGGTCCAGGGGCCAGTGATGTCTTTTGCTCTGGTCCAGCTACAGTGTAGGAGGACATGCAGGATGAAAGGAGAGCAAGAGGAAAGGAGGAAAATATGAAATGGAGGAAGTGGGGCTTGAAGACTTTGGGCAAGGAGATAAAGCGGGGGTGACTAGGGATGTGTGGGGCAGCCAGCAAAAGCTAGAAATTTAGAAAAGCAAGAAGAGCAAAGAATTTTGCTTCCTCCCTTCTCCCTGCATCCCCAAATCCTTGTAGTCAAACTCTCATCATAATTATGAACACATTTAAAGGGCAGAAACAGATTGTATCAATAGTCCATTGATAGAAGAGGGCAATCCTGAAGGGCTGATTTTGTGTGTCACAGCAAGAGTTCCTCTCATCTCCCAAAATTTGCAAATTGGCTTGCTTTGTGATTGTTCTTCAGGATCTAAGTATGGAATTCCTTTGAAGTGTGATTTCTCAAACGTGAAAAATTGCTTCAGTCACTGCCAACGCTAATCAGGTCCCTCCAAAACTAACATGCTTTTAGCTCAAATGACAGGCTATCTATAATGTTTCTCTCTGCCTGAGGCATAGCAATCTGAAGTAGCTGCTTTTTCTTCTGCTTTGGGTTTATTTGAGCTTACTTGTTTTTGTCTTAAATGCCTGCATGTAGGAATGGTCACATTTCCCTCACACCACTCTGTTAAATGCTAAATATGGTGCTTAGCCAAATGCAAGATAAAAGCGACATTTGTTCTTTCTCTTTTCTATACATTGGGGTTTCAGTTCTATAATCTGATGTTTCCTAACAAAATAGCTGTGTATTGGCAAGCAAAAAGTTATCAACATATTCTTATTACATATTAGTAAAATTTTGTTTTCTATAACCTATTGATCTTGAAATCGCTGTCCTTCTTGCAAACAGTTCTTTGTTTCTTATTTGTTGTTACCACAAATAATTTTCATTAAATTATGTCAGAGTCTGTAAGTACTCACTGTAGGAAAGCCAAGTACTAAAAAAGCGTGCTGCTGCATAAAGAAGTCAATATGCACAGAACATTTTTCTACAAGGTGCACGATTCTTGACAGAGGACAACATTAAATAGGGGATGTCTGTGCGAGTGATACAGAGTAGGGAGAGTTCTAGATGTGAACGTGGGTGAGCCTCATCTATATCCTCCCCCAGCCATGACATTCATTGGCTGGCTTTGCTGAATCTTTTGTTCCGCGGTGAAGCCTAACTGTAACCTCTTGTTGCACTGATATAACTTGGAATCCGATGAGAAAAAAAATGTAAATGGTTAGCAGACAGAGCAAGTTGTCCCTCCTACTTAAGGTCTTCACAACAAAGGAATCTCACATGGAAATCTGTACTATGTTAAGTCTAATCTGTTATTTATTTCTCTCTCTCTTTTTTTCCTGGTGGAAGAATCAGGCACATAAAGATACACCTAGCATACCCATGTTGCAGATTGTACTAGATTTATGGGTAGATGAAAAAAGCATCCCCATCGCAAGCTCATGACCATTGGTGCAGACAGTGAAGATAATAGAGCATACACACAGGCAAACCTCCCCCCCCCCTCACTGCTATAATTGGATTGTTCCTGTTTTGGTTTCTTTAGTACTGTATCAGGTTGCTTTAGATCCATGTATTTTGCCTTTCCGAATCTTCTCTGCAGAGATCCCACCTCCTGTATCTCTGCTCTTCAGAAGAATGCTGCATACAAAGCCAGATATCCAAGAGCTCAGCACTAGAGGCAACTGCTTTTACCCCAATGCTCTTTGGCCAGTTCTTAGCACTGGCATCAGCTAAGTAAATGACAGAGAGACATTTTAAGATTAAGAGACGGTGAGCTAGAACGAAGCATTAAAACTTTGTCACACTTCACAGCTTATGAAATGCAGTTCAACTCATGGATTTGAAAAAATCCCACAAGATTTGATAAAGCAGAGGAAGGATTTATAAATATATTTAATACCAAGTCCCTTAATAACTGAATAAGAGAATCCATCACTTTCAAGTGAGCATAAGATCTAGGAAACTTTGGTAAAAGGGCCAAATTTTGCATACTGGTGGTAGAATGAACTCAGAGGAAGGGAGGGAAGGAGGACAGGCTTTATTAAGCAGCATTAAACAGACTCATGGAGGTCTTCAGCGGCTATAAGCTGTAGAAGAATTTACACCTTTCCAGGAAAAAGAACTGCTTCTGTGTAAGTTCCGTACGATTTGCCCAATGAAAATGCCTTTTGAGCTGGGAATGAAAAGCAATATAAACTTCAAATGGTTTCAGTGATGATGATTGTTATTTCATTGCTCTGTAGTTACTCCCTTTTCACTAAAGGGATCAACGATGTTGGCCATAAAAAGTTATGTTCAAACAAAACTCATACTGGAACAAATGACAATCTATTTTTCAACAAATACGTAAAATATTATTATCTCGCAAAATGGTAATAGCGATCGGATGTGTAGGAGGAGGAGGAGGAGGAGGAGGCTGTTTATCAAGTAGAACCCTGTTCTGGTGGTGACAGAGGTAATAACCAGATATTGTAAACTATATGCAAATCTTTACTTTCTCAAGCAGGATGCCAAGATTCATTGGCTAGTTACAGCAGAGCTTAAACCTTACAGCTGTTAATAATCAAGTGGCCCTTGTCCCATAATAATGTACTGGGAATATGTAAAGCTAAAAGAACATACTTTAAAGATAGTAAAAAAAAAGTGACTGTTGAATAATAAAGCGAATAAACTAAATGTGCATTGTTTGAATTGCTTCATGTTTAATTGAAAAACACGAAGTGGCAATGCACAAATGTTTAGGAAACACAGTGGCTGCCACATTTCCCATCCAATTAACATCTATATTCCACTGAACAGAGAAGAGGGATTCCTTGAGCACAGTAGGATTTGTAAGGTCCCCTCTTCTAAATGCAAGCCATTGTACTGCCTAATAACTTTCCATCAGCACAAGGATTGGCAAAAAGAACAACAGAACAGAACAAATGGCAAAAAGAACAACAGAACAGGAAATGGTTGTTGTGGGTTTTTCGGGCTCTTTCGCCATGTTCTGAAGGTTGTTCTTCCTGATGTTTCGCCAGTCTTTTTGGCCAGCATCTTCAGAGGACTGGAGCAGGAAGTTCCTACTCCAGTCCGGTGAAGATGCCGGCCAAAGAGACTGCCGAAACGTCAGGAAGAACAACCTTCAAAACACAGCCAAAGAGCCCGAAAAACCCACAACAACCATTAGATCCCGGCCGTGAAAGCCTTCGCGAATGCATAGAACAGGAAATGCTAAGTAATCTGCAGGAGTTTCCACCCTAATTTTTCCAGGCATCACACGGGTATGTTAGCCTAATTCCTGTGCCCAGCATGTGCCCCACAATGCAATGTATCTGTCTGTCTGTGCAAAAATAATAAATGCATTTAGGATTCTGAGGGCTCTGTCATGTGCACTCACACCCATGGTATCTTCAGTGACACATGCCTAAGGTCACTTCCAGAAAGCACTAAGAACCTTTATGGCAGAGATCAGAATAAGAAGTACTATAGAAAGTATTTCAATAAATAAGTTTGGAGCAGGGTGGACCAATTATAGTTCTGTGTCCCATGAGAATCATGTGGTACAGTGGACCCTCGAGTTACGGAATTAATCCGTACTGGAACGGTGGCCACAGGTCAAAAAGTTTGTAGGTCGAGGGTCCATTTCCCATAGGAATGCATTGAAAACCCATTAATCCGTAACTGCCCGAAGAAAAAATACCCTACCACCAAAAAAAGAAAATAAATGCAAAAAGCAGTACCTTACCGGTCCGAAGGGGTCCCTTGCTGCTGCTGAAGCCCTCCGAGGGCTTCCCCGCCGCTGCCAGTGGCCTCACGGGGGTTCCCGGCTGCCGCCGTCGCTGCTGCTGAAGCCACCCAAGGGCTTCTCCGCCACCATGAGGGGTCTCTCAGAGGTCGTTGTCCGCCGCCATCACCGCTTTCCCAGGGTACACCAGGCCTACCAGGGGAGGGCTTCCCCTGGTAGGCCTGGTCTACCAGGCTTTCCCGGTGAGTAGAGCTTCTCCAGAGGCACGATCGGCCGTGAGGGGGACCTCCGGAGGCCTTCCAGGGCTTCTCCACCTCCATGGGAGGCCTCTCAGAGGCCCCCGCCACCGGTGATCATGCCTCCGAAGCATGATCAGCGGGGGGGACCTCCGAGATGCCTCCCATGGATGCGGAGAAGCCCTGGAAGGCATCCAGAGGCACGATTGGCGGCCTACGGACCAGGAGGGGGAGGGGGGGAAAGCACCAAATTTGCATTGGGCGCTTACCCCACCTCCCCCTTCTGGTCCGTAGGTAGATTCTCCAGCCGCAAGTCGAAGTGAATTTTTTGCGGCCAGAGAAGTCTGTAAATTGAAAAGTCCGCAGGTGGAGATGTGTGTATGGTCACACACAAAACACACTGTTATGTGTGTGACCATAACAGTACTCAGCACACTAGATGAAAAATATGTTTGTATTCAAAAAAGCTTTTCATAGGTAGTTGACAACAACATTAAACTGACGCTGTGAGAAGGATGCATCGCTGTCTGAGGCAGCTATGTCTGCTCACATCTTTTAGATTAAGGGAAAAGGCATAAAGCAGGGCTGGTTAGATGTTTTAAACTGAAGTCTCCAGCCTTGAACACTGGCCTTGTTGGTTGGATCATCCAGGATTTCAAGTCCAGCATTTCTGAAGGAGCAAAGGTTCCACACTCCTGACATAGAACCCTGACTTTTCATGGCTCTGAGAACTCTGTGAAGTGATGCCTTTCATTTTGTTCAATTTTGTATTGTTTCTAGGATTCTGCTTCAGCTGGATCTGCGACCATGAGTGGGCCCAGAACAAGTGCAATCATTGGTGATCATGGTACACCAACAAAGGTCCAGCTACCCCTCAACATGTAAGCATTATTTTGCTCTGAATACAGTTTGAACAGCCTACAGATAGTTTCAGCATTATTGTTTGTAGTAGAAGAGGAAGTCATTTGTGCAAGGAACAATTGACATATAGTTATCACCATCTTGGAAGTTATGTTCCAGTACAGTTGAACACCTGAGATTATTGTTAGGAAAGTAATCTGTAGCATGCTTCCAGTTGTTTATTGTGGTACAAATGAATAAATTTAGTGTGTACAAACACTTTAGCTTAAGTAAAAGCAGGTATAGGGGAAATAAGTGATACACAGAGAAATAAAATATACCGTATTTTTCGCACCATAAGACACACTTTTTCCCCACAAAACAGGAGGGTGGAAAGTCTGCGCGTCTTATGGAGCAAAGAAAACAGAGTATATTTTCCTGTTTTCTTCTCCTAAAAAATTGGTGCGTCTTATGGAAAGGTGTATGTGTTATGGACTGTTTGTAAAATCCTTGTTTTATCGTATACACCTTATTGGAAGCCGCCCAGAGTGGTCGACCAGACCAGATGGGCGGGATATAAACAAACAAACAAACAAACAAACAAACAAACAAACAAATAATCTGTAATATACAATATCAGCCTTAGAAAATATAACCACTGATCAATATTACTTTGTTATTTACATAAACATGTGTATATAAAAGTGCTTTTTACTGCACAAAAAGTACAGTGGATATGAGCTCAGTTGTATGACTTGGATCCAGGATTTCCATCAGCATAAGCTTTCATTGAGCAGAGGCCACTGCAGGACACTTCAGCCAGGAGTTACCTTTTATAACTTGCCTTTTCCACTGTAATCCCCCACATCAGATGTTGTTCTAGAGAGTCCTCCAACCCATTTGGAACAGATTTTCAGAGGGAGTAGATGACTTTATGAGAGCAAGTGGATCAGCAAATATTCATCTCATTCTTGTAGCAGAATAGTTTCACTGAATCAAAAGCCTTACACATTTTGAAGAAGCCCTTCAGTTTGTGGAGGGCAATCCAGTCCAAAATACAGTATTTCTATAAACACATCTGGGCTTATTAATCTTCTTTGTCAAATGGATAAATTCAAGGAATTATGAATATTTCATCAGTGACGGAATTAATTGGCTTGCCTTTCAGAATGAGAAATTGTTTTCAGTATAATGTGTTGTCCACAAATTGATTCAATAAAGGAAAAAAGAATTTCCTACAAATACATTTAATTTTACTACATTGTAATGAAAATATCTCAATGTAAAGCAGTGAGGTTTTTGCTGCTTAAGTTCCTTTAAGCTAAAAGATGCACATCTAGGCTTTCCAGAGAGGAGCAAATGTGAATGTGTTTTATGCTTGCAGTCTAGAAGTCAGAGGCATGCCTCTCATCTTTGTCTGTCTTCAGTGTCAGGAACCTGCAAGCTAGGTGCTAGGTCTTGAGGTGGTAGTCTGAAAAGGAGCAATTCCAGATATTCAAGGTCATTTGATAGAACAGGCAATAATGTGCATCATACTGGACATCAGCTAGCTTGGGGCCTGAAGGATCCCTAGGGCAGATTTCAGCTGACTGTTATCTGAAAAGACTTCTGTGCCTGTGAGGAAACATTGGGGATGACATTAATGAGGGAAGTATAAGGAGAGGAAATACAGGTTGCCTATGTCTTCCTTCCAAGCTTCTTTCAAATATTCAAAACAACACTAGTTACTTCCAGTAGAGTGGAACTGCAACAGTGGGAAAAGAGCCATCCAACAAGATAGGAAAATTTTGTAATTCTGTTGTACAAATAGTAGATATTTCAATCTACAATGAGTGGATGTTTTATTTTCTGTGTTTCATTTTTTAAAAATAAGACAGTTGTTCTCTTTCTTTTAGCTGTCAATTGCCTACAGTGTTTCACTTGACCAAGTTATGGAGCATTTTTATATATTGAGGGGAAAGAAAATAAGCATCTTCATGCTCTTAGTGCCTGGAAGCCAAGCTTCACTTCAAAGCAATTGTGTCTCAAACTTATAATAGACCTACAGAGATGACATTAACCGTAGCACCATGAATTCAACATTATCAATTCAGTCACAGTTGAATCCCTCAGGCCCCAAGTTAAAGCTGGAAATTCTGTCAGGCAACTTTTAGTGCTGAATATCATAGATTAAAACTATGTCAATTAACTAGTTCCTAGCCTTAATACCATGAAATGTCATCCTATTGCAACTGCGAAGATAACTTCCTTTTAAAAAAATTAGTTTTTATTAGTTCATCACCCATGAAAAACAGTCATGTCAAGGGACTTCGTAACTAGATAACGTTGTTAATCTCATTTCCTTTTCAAGAGCACACTCCACTCTGAAAAGTATCTTTCTACTTATCTGGGTCATCATTTATCTAAATTTTTGCAGAATAACTTTTACAGGTTTTTGACAACAGGTGTGAAGCAAGGCTTTCTTCCTTCTCCAGTCAGCAAGGATCCTGGTGAAAGCAAGAGTACTTGATAGTTAACTAAAGCCCAATTTCTGTCAGAGGGACTGAGAGATCGCATGTAAAGCCACTGAATTTTCTCTTATTTTTTGCAACAACACTTTAAAAATGTGTTTTACTACTTCAGGGCCTTCTCTCATGCCTGTATACAGAAATATTATTTCTAATAAGCAGGGTTTCCTGGGTTAAACTGAACTGCAACCTTATGTTCTCATGTGTGCTTCAGATTTGTCCATTTACTCTATATATCATTTGCTTTCTTATAGTTACTTGGCACTCTATGCGTACAAGCCTCAGAAGACGGATGAACTGGAGCTGCGCAAGGGTGAAATGTATCGCGTTATTGAGAAGTGTCAGGATGGCTGGTTTAAAGGGACATCTTTGAGAAATGGCATGTCTGGAGTCTTTCCAGGCAACTATGTCACTCCTGTTTCCAGGTGAGAGGCACTGGGAAGTTCAGCACTGAGGAACTGGGTACCTCTTGAACAGAGATGTGAAAATGGATATACTTGCTTTTAGTCTACAGTGGGTTGCCCCTAAAAAAAAAATAATAAATGAATCCACAGCTATCTTTGCCATCAATTATACTTCACATATTTCCATTTTTTCCCCCACATAAAAATAAATTTCCATTCCATGAGGCAATTGTAATGATAGCCACAAAATATAATTGTTAAGAATAATGCAAGCATTAGGTGTATTGGAAGTGCCTTATAGTGCATGCCATCCATCAATGTTACATGTCTTTGGAACCACTGCATGCTGTCTATAGCTTAGTGCAACAGAACACATATTTTGGTTATATTTATTTATTTAAAATATTTCTATGCCGCCTTTCTGCCCAAAAGGACCCAAGGTGGCTTACATCACTAAAACAGTATTTAAAGCTAAAACAGTAAGTATACAAATATTTAAAAAGAATTAAAGACGTACTATATTAAAGTGTTAACTAAGATCAATATTTAAATGCATTTAAAACAACAGAGCACAACAGTCCATTTAAAACGCCTCTCGGACCACCAGTCATTAAGAAAAAGCCTGGCTGAAGAGAAAAGTCTTTGCTTGCCTGTGGCCCGTGGTCTTAGAGCGATCACTGGTCATCTCAACACAAGAGTGGCAGATAGACAGGACTGAGGGAGATGTCTGCCTAAGATCCCGGAGAGCTGCTGACATTCAGCATAAATTGGGACAGAACTAGATGAATGAGAGTCCTTTTGATGTACAGACTAGGATTCAGGAAACCTGGGTTAAAATCGACACTCAGTTATGCTTATTCACTGGACGCTGCGTCAGGTAAAACCCCTCCTTAAATATCTTGCATACTTTGAAAACCATGTTTCAGTTGCTATAATTGAAATGTGACTTAATAACACATTGACAAGAAGATGAAGAATGACTGGTCTGACTCATAACTTAGGCCCTGGTCACATGAGGGAAATGTTCTCTATTTATCCCCCCTCTAAATTTCATTCCCGTTGAGATGGGCTCCATACCGCATGCACAAGTCTGCCACACACCCCTGTGCAGGGTTTTGTTGTGACTAGAATGAAAGGGGCTGGAAATGATCGCTGTGAGTGCATGGGAGAGGAAGAAAGCAGTGTAGAGGGTGGCAGAGTCATGCGCAGTCATGCACCTTAGAGGGAACCTTGTTCCTGATATATTGATGTATTGATAAATATAAACCAGTACCATGGATTGCTGCCTTGTCATGGCGAAGGGGCTTGAGTAACTCAGAGAAGCTATGGGCTATGCCGTGCAGGGACACTTAAGATGGACAGGTCATAGTGGAGAGTTTTGACTAAACGCGATCCACCCGGAGCAGGAACTGGCAAGCCACTCCAGTATCTTTGCCAAGAAAACTCCATGGACAGATACAAAAGGCTAAAAGATATGATGCTGGAAGATGAGCCCCTCAGGTTGGAAGGCATCCAACATGCTTACTGAGGAAGAGCGGAGGAGAAGTACAAGAAGCTCCAGAGCTAATGAAGTGGTTAGGCCAAAGTCGAAGGGATGCTCAGCTGCGGACGTGCCTGGAAGTGAAAGGAAATCTGATGCTGCAAAGAAAAATACTGCATAGGAACCTGGAATGTAAGATCTATGAACCTTGGTAAGCTGGATGTGGTCATACAGGAGATGGCAAGAATAAACATTGACATCCTTGGCGTCAGTAAACTAAAATGGACAGGAATGGGCAAATTCACTTCAGACGATTATCATATCTACTACTGTGGGCAAGAATCCTGTAGAAGAAATGGAGTAGCCATCATAGTCAACAAAAGAGTGGGAAAAGCTGTACTGGGATACAAAAATGATAGAATGATTTCAATACAAATCCAAGGCAGACCTTTCAACATCACAGTAATCCAAGTTTATGCACCAACCACCGATGCTGAAGAGGCTGAACTTGACCAATTCTATGAAGAC